CCACCGCCACCGCCACCGCCACCGCCGCCGCCACCGCCACCAACACCACCACCGAGGTCGACGACCAGAAGGACCACCGCTCTCTTCCCCATTCGGCATCAGGGGCTCGTTTCCCGGGAGGTCAGATGAAGAGATGTTCCGGGACTGGTTTCCATAAGAATCGATATCTGCGTTAGCGTAGTTGCAGTTCGGTTGTATCGACTAATCGAAGCGTTGGTCTACGATTGGAATCGATGCCGAATGAAACGGTCAATATCTTGATGGGCTGTCCACCCTCAGTGGCAGCCGATTTGCGGCAGTTATCAGCAAAGTGAAGAAACTAAATGTGATGCCACCTCTTGTCTGTTAGATCAAAGCACTTGCCCAGGTAGAGCCCATTTGGTTCCAGTATACGTTTTGTCTGTTCCCCTATGGATGGAAAAGAATTGGAATGTGTAGTTTGGCATTACTATCCTGGTATGCTATTGAAATCAACTTCAAAACTTCATATCTACATGTTGATATCCGCTTAGTATTGATACTCCTAATATAGGTTGCTTTCGCTGTATGACATAAAATTCAGTGTCTAATAGCACCCGAGTCGTAAATATTGGCAGCAACTTATACCTAGTTCAGATAATTCAATATTATTGTTTCATCAATATCGATTTTTTTACTGCTAAGACCAAAATGTTGACCGTTCCTAGCATTTCAGTCTCGATAACGAAGGATAAATTTAGCCTGCAAAATTAATTCTAAAAAAATAGTACATTCTAATGGAATGGAAATTGAAGATAATCGTGAACGTTCTAACGATGTGTCATCAACTTCAGTAGATACATCTGCTCCCCAAACTCAGAGATTTCCCAGAGTCCCTGATGCCCCCGACTTTTGCCGCCAGAAGTGAAGAGAAACCTTGTTAGAGATGAGGTCACGAGAAGAAATCCACCCATGTCTTTTATTTTGCCCATTTATTTCTAAGAAATGTGTCATTTCTTTCCATATTTCTCTTGTGGTCTATTTACATTGTACACTTCTAAGGAAGTTTATATCTATTGGCCTGATGCCTTATTGTCGTTAATTAAGTTCAAATATAAAATTGTACGTAATTATCCAGTCGATTGTTATTTGTTCTCGCGTCGCTCAAACTTCAGCGTCGCACAGTCATATCCTTGAGTCCGTGTACAAACCCGGGACTGCGGCATCGTTCCCGATGGGGGCGGGCGTAGAAAGCAGCCCGGCGGAGACGCCAAATGGACCGGTTTGTAGGGCGTAATTATCATCAGCTGCTGCCGCGACATGTGATGCATGCGAGCAGCCACTATCTGATGTGTCATCTGGTCTAGACCAGTCGGGTAAGGTGCACAGCCCTTCGTCCACACTCAAGGGAGGTTGCAGACGGCGAGATTGTGGAGTATAGTATTGTGTGTATCAGTGATTCTGCTAGTATTGATGTGGTGGATCTTAAGGTGGCACAGAAATCTCAATCCCCACGTTATCCGACCCTTGATTGTGTTCTATATAATTTGATTAGATGTTGTAGGTTTTCTGAACTCTCGCACGCAAGACAAGAAGAAATGTTGACGCATTATATTTTTTTTCAATTTATTATTTATTATGATACCAGTGCCTTACCCTGAAGAGTAAGTAATTATGAAAATTTGATGCGTATTATGATGGAGCACTGATAGAATGACAGTAAGGGAAACGCGAGAATGTCCAGAAAACGTTCCATGAACCCGCTTTGTCCACCACAAATTCCTCATGGAGCGGGTTTGAACCCTGGACCCAGTGATGAAAGGCAGGCGGACAGTCTACTACACAGAGGCTCACCCCATTACATTCAACGGAATGAAAATTGAATAAATAACTAACATTTTAAAGATATAACGTACATTATTTCAGATCGTTTAATGAGGCTGTGGGATTTCTCGAACGTTGAAGTAGATTTTTCATATTCTGCATTTCAGTATATAATGTATTTATACCATTTCGCCGCGTAATTTTGAAGTATTTGAGGGTCACATGCCTCTTGCATGATAATGAGAGATATCGACATGAATCATGAATATACATTAATAATTTATTTTGTGTGCCGATTGCTTGATGACTGTTACTGTGTAATCACTGTTTGCCCAAATTATTTCATCTAATAAATTACGTTTATGCAAATTATTGTTAGTGGAATACAATACTGGCTGTTACACTTTCCGAATTGTATATGTATGAATGTGTGTATGCACTTGGCGCGACAGCCCGTGAACGGGCTCAGGCCTACCGGCGACGTCCCTACCTCGCGGCCATGGGTTAAGAGAGTATGTGTGGTTAGCACATAGACATCCCCACGCCGTATTCCGGTCTTCTCAACCTGAGAAGTGCATTTCCTCATCGGCACACAGCAACATAGCAAGGAAAATACACACTATACCTTTACGTCGACCGGGAACTGAACCCGGGGCCGCGTAGTTGAAAGCGACCACGCTGAGCAATTCCGAATTGTGTAACACCCCTGACATTACATTTTCTGCTTTACAAATTACTTTCTAACTGAAAGAATTACGTCGCCGCCATTGCCACGAGGAATGCAGCGCTAAACGCTTTATGGCCCAGATGACAGCACCTCGAACAATTACAGGTCTCTGGGCGGCTGCTTCCTGGAGTCGGCTCGGAATGCGGAATGTTGATGTGCGCGCATTACCCGCAGCGGGCGAACCGTGTCGAAGAGGTTAGAGCACTCGTTTTTCTCAAGCCTCGTCGCCTCAAATGATAGTCATCCACGTAAAACGCCTGGGGGTCGGAATGATTTTCAGATTTTGCACTCTTCCCTTCTGTGTATTATTACTTACAGACCCGTCTTGACCGCATATCCGATCTCTAATCGTTATTCATTGTTGTCGCCGCCCTGCTATGACAGAAATAGGTGCTATTTTTGCCGAAATAATTGTGTGCGATGGATTGTTGCAGAATTATATAATCAGTCTGCTACAGTTGACCAATTTTATTTTTTAATTAGAGTTTTTCTGCGAATGGGTTGCCGTAGCTGTTCGAATTCGGCGTGGGCATAATTACAAGTCATATTGTCCGTGGTTCCTTCACGAACCACGCTTTAGTCAAAGGGTACTGGAATAAGCATATAACGTATTATTAAAAAAAGTATCTTGCTATTTAACATGATACGCGGACAATTCAGGTACATCTATAGTCATTCGAAAGTCCATTGTGTGTGTTCTATTCTCGCAGATTTTTTTGTTGGGGGGGGGGGAGGAGGGTGTTGGTGAAATGAATCACTCCTCCTTTCCAAAGAGCGGGTCAAGGCGAAGTAGGAGCCGCCGCCCTCCCCCCCCCTCCTTGAGCGATGAAGGTTGACGCGCGTGCGTCGTGTCCGTAGCGGCACCGCGGGGCGGCCGTTCATTTCTCTTTGTCGCCGTCGCCCATTAGCGCGCGAGATGGATGCCTCGCCGACGACACCTCCGCCGCGTCGCCCGATGGTCCGAAACGGGGAACCGGCGGGGTGAAATCTCTCTTTCAGGAAATGAGTTTTCCAGCGGCGCCAGTAGTAGTACGCAGATGAAGGGTTATGGTCGGCGGCGGCGATGACCGGTGGTTGATGGCGGCGGCGATGGTGTAATGGTTAGCGTACTGGACTGTTGTATCCAAGTTGGCGTGTTCAAACCCGATCGAAGCCGTGGATTTTTAAGGGCGAAAAAATCCTTCGTACGCCTTCCTTCGGAGGGGAAGTAAAGCCGGCTGTCCCATGTTCGTAGATTTACTTGCATGTAAAAGATCCTCAAGCCTAAATGACGTCTCTGAGCTAAATTCAAATCGCCTGTTTCTCGCCCAAGAAATACATCCTCTCTCTCCTAGTTGGTGAAAGGAGCGTAGCGAAATTTGCGTGGTCAGACGGAAGAGCGGGCCTGATGGCCCGAGTCTCACCACGTAAAATAAGGCATATTCAATTCAATTCAAAGGGTTCACGGTACACATTTGAGTACAGTATTTTTATGTAATCTAATTCGCCTTGCAAGCTTGATAAACAAATACGTTTATAAAATAATATTTAGGTGAAATACAGCTTTGTGAGGAATGTGGAAGGTAATGGGAAAAACCAAGGGAGAAAATAAGTTGCGACGTCAAGAAATTCTGAGAAATGTTAAACCCAACAACGAAAGAATTTAGGATCTCAATGCTTCTCAAAAATCTGTCATGTTTGCAGGTTTTTTACGCAATAACAGAAAGGTGGGAAAAGAAAGAAATATGGAACAGGAGGCACTGAGGGCTGGGTGCGATCCCGGCCAAACCATGTGGAACGTGTGGCGGGCCAAATAATCTCCCTACAGGTTTTCTCGCGGTTCTTCCGTTTTACTTGCGTCTTATTCCACCATTGCTTCACCCTGACAAGATAAATCCGACAAACAAATTGGCTGCAAAATCCCACAAATACATATACGAATATATATATATATATATATATATATATATATATATATATATATATATATGTATATAAGCGCAGAACAATTATTTTTATTTTCACGTTCGTGTCTGAATCATGTAAATTGGGCGGATTTGTGAAAGCTTATTTTGTCCGCCTTCCGCGTCTTCCAAGCTATCGTGCGTTGTCTCGCCCGCGGGTGCTCATGCAGGCGCGAGCCCTGTCCGCGCGGGTGGATACTGGGACCCTCAGACCAAGGCCACGCGCGCAGATCTTCACTTGCGCGTCCGAGCCACAAGACATGCGGACGCGGGGCCACGAAGAGCGCGTGATTTAATTGATTGATTGATTACTGGCGATTCCGCGCACGTCAACTGTGAAGGTTATTAGTCTCGTACATGTAGTGCATGTTTTTGCGCGGGAGGTGGAAGTGAACTTGCCCAACAGGATGGCGAAATCCAGTGCCGACCTACCTCAATCAGGTATATCCCACCAAATTGCACTTCACTAAAAGCGTACTGGTTGGACAACCTGAAAATGATACGGTTCTGTCAAGTCTGTGCCGGGTTTCTTGAGGTCGACAGTCATTCTTATGATTCACTTGTGAAAAATTGGAAGATAATGTAAAACTTATAACCTACAGTAGGTGTTTATTAAGATTTTTCTTTACGATACCTTTAAAATGCCAGGAATATAATGTGTTGTCAGTTTGGAGGATTTTAAAGTCGGTATACGTTTGATGACTAGGACTTAGATTCATTCTCTTATTGTTCGAATTTCCAGGTTTAATATTGTTCTCTCTGAAATACCATTTCTATTTTGTGGCATTATAGAAATCTGTAATTCATAACATTATCATTCCATAACTATAACTCGTAAATATAATTCTATGAGTTGCTTATACGAGTGCTTTGATGTGATCTCTGGCTTTGTCTTCGGATCATTTCTCCTTTACGCCAAAGGAACAAAATCATTATTGTTGTTATTCCTGTTCTCTCTTTCGCATTAACGACATAAGCATTTACAGCAATTTACTTTAATTTGTTCCCGTAATAAGGACAGAGATGGGTGAAATTGTTACAGTTAATGACGAGGAAGAACCGTAGGCAGAAACAATAAAACTTCAATGTTTTAACTTGAAAGTTTTTGTAGTTTTCTCATCATTTTATTATGATTATTCTGCAATCATCAATTGTTTAGTACAAATAAAAGAGAAAATAAAAATTTAAATGCCTTGAATATTATGAAATTCTAATCTAATATTATGTAATCGAATTCTTTTATAGTCGTTGTCGTAAATCTTGTAACTGTAATTATCTGGATACACAGGAAACTATACAGTGTTTTAGGTGATACCACATAGCTCTTCGACTTTTTTTTACGTTTTCTTCCATCGCCAAGTTTTTTCTATCAGCCGTGCTCTCATATTCTGCATCCGCGTTGACATCTCCTTCCTTTCTTTTTCCGTTTTATTC